CCTGGGGAACACCGCTTGTGACTGGTCGCTGTGTGAGGTCACGGCGTGGGCCGGGACTGCTGTGTCTGCTCCAGTGCCCGATGCCCCAGCACCGCCACCAGCCCCGTTGTGGGGCAGTGTCACCGCGCTGGCCAAAGTCCCACCCGGTGCCGCTGGGACAAGGACAACCCCCACAGACGCAGCCGGCTCATGTGACACCCAAAATCCCGTGTGCTTGTGACACAGGCCACCACCTGGTCACACACGGCAATTTTCAAGTGAAGCCACATGAAATTGCAAGCGAGGAGATGCCTCCCCAGCCTGGTGTCACCCCCCCTCTTCTCGCTGCCCTGTGAGGCGCAGGGTGAGCTCATTTCCTACCTGGCTCCGTGCCTGCTCCTCAGTCAACCACACCAGGTGCTGTCACTTGGAAACAGGAACAGCGTGTGCTTATGGGTCCCCAGTGGCACCCAAAAATGTGCCTCCCGGGGTGGCTCTGCAGCCCTGCTCCTGCAGGGGAGGCGCTGGCTCTGCAGGGGCACAGATGGGGAAGCAAGAACAGGTTTGAGTCTGTGTTTCACAGCAGAGCCCCCCCAAGGAAACATCAGAGACTGATAAAGTGTGTAGAATTCAGCTTCCAAAGAGGTGATGAGGTTGCAACCTCCAGGTTTCAGGCTGGATTGGCCACTACTGGACTGCTTGGCACAGGGGTGAAGGGCCAGGGACCACGGATGGTGGCCACACCGTGGTGATGGGGCCAGGAAGCCTCCCATGGGAAGCCACGGCTGTCTTCTCCCTCAGTTTGACACATGCAGGGTTATGCATGCACAGCAGTTCGGAAAGAAAAAGCGACAAAAGCCGCATTTTGTTTCCCTAGAGCATCCCTGCGGTTAAAACAACAGATCAAGAGACAACTCCTCCATCTCTGCCCGCTTTGTAACAACAAACAACAGCAGAGCAAGCAGCCCACATTCCAGCTGAACGCCCTGGCCACCACTATCAGCACAAGAGGGGAAAGACGCCTCATTTCTTACCAGTCCTGTGAAGCCATGGCAAGAGATGGAAATATCCACATGGAGGGACTCTGAGCAGCACCGGACACGGTTTGTGGAGCAGCACAGAGAGCACCTCCCTGGCTGGAACAGCAGCTCCTTGGGGACATCAGGAGGTCCCTGATGAAGTTTGCTGATGACACCAAAATGAGTGGGGTACTTCACACTCCAGAAGGGAGAGCCACACTCCAGGAAGACCTGGACAGACTGGACAAGTGGGCCAGCAGGAACCTTATGAAGTTCAGCACAGACAAATGTAAGGTCTTGCATCTGGGAATGCATCATCCAAGGATGCAGCTGAGACAGGGCTCCACCTGAGTAGAGAGCAGCCCTGGCGAAATGGACCTGGGGGTCTTGGTGGATGAGAAGCTCAACATGAGGAGCAGTGCTGTAGCTGTAAAGAAAGCCAACAGGATGCTGGGGTGCATTAAAAAGGACATCACCAGCAGAGATAAAGAAGTCATATCCCTCTCTACTCAGCACTGGTCAGACCACACCTTGATACTGTGTCCAGTTTTGGTCCCTGCTATACAAAAAAGACGTGGACAGGTTGGAAGGGGTCCAGAGAAGGGCCACGAGGATGATCAGAGGGCTGGAAGACCTGCTGTATGAAGAAAGGCTGAGAAATCTGGGCCTGTTCAGCCTTGGAAAGAGAAGGCTTAGGGGGACCTTATCACTATGTACCAGTATATAAAGGGTGGCAACCAAGAAGATGGGGACTCCCTTTTCACAAGAAGTCACATGGAAAAGACGAGGAGTAATGGACACAAGTTGCTGCTGGAGAGATTTCGATTGAACTCCAGAAGAAATGTTTTTACTATGAGATCAATCGGACATTGAACAATCTCCAGGGGAAGTGGTGAATTCCCCTACACTGGTCAGTTCTAAAAATCAGCTTGACAGGGTGCTGACTCAACTAATTTAAACTGTACTTTTACCTTGAGAGGTTGGACCGAATGATCCTTGTGGTCCCTTCCAACCTGGTACTCTATGATTCCTCCTGTGCCCACTAAACGGGGTCAGTGGGTGGAAAAGCACAACCTGGGAGGTGCAGGCATCAAAAGCTGATAAACCCCTGAGCACTGAAAATGACTGCAGGTGAAGATCATCACTTACCAAAGAAAGGGCAATGCTCACCCAGGAAGCACATCTGGACTTGCAAGGAGCAGCAAACTGGGGTACTGAGGAGAGCCTCTGAGCACAGCCACCGCTGCATCACTGCAAATGTCCCAGCAGCACTGAGACCATCAGAGATTTGGGTGGTGACAGCTTCCAGCATCCCCAGGTGTGAAACATCTTCCTGTTTTTCTCCTGCTCTCATCTTCCCAGCAGAAATAAAGAAAAGATGGAGAACTTTGTCTTCGTGTGAAAACCAAACCTTGGGCATTGTAACAAATCCCTGGTGGAGTGGGAAAGCTGACGGCACGACGTCTGCAGTCTGTCTGCCCATGCCATCTGCAGGTTATTCAGCCTTTCTGTGCACTTGCAGCTTTCATTTCTTCTCGTGTTAAAAGCCGTCTCGAACAAGAACCATTCAACAAGCCCTGTGTACATGAAACTAAAAGCTGAGGAACTTGTGCATATGCCACGTTTTCTGTTTTAGCAAACCTGGACCTCATTAACCCACAGGTGAGCAGAGGAGACCCAGTCTGAGCAGGGGAGCTCACCACAGACCCGCTCCACGCTGAAACAGTTGTTGGAAAGGATCTGCTGGAAAGCAATGCATCCCCACACTTCTGACTTCAATCTCCTCCAGAATTAACCCTCTAACATTATTAAAGTGCCAAAAGTAACAGAAGAAAAAGCCAGCAGTGAAAAAAGACATAAGAAAAAGACACCAGTGCAGCCCAGCGCAGCAGAATCACCCTTTGATTCACACTGGTGTGTGGGAAACCAGAACCAAGGGCTTCGTAGCACAGAAATTCAGCAGAGAAAGCTGAGGAAAAAGCGTTTGCTTTCATAGCAATGTGTGAGATGCTCGCCTTGCAAAACACATTATTGGAAGCAAAGGTTTCCTGTCAAATGACTCAATGGCAGATGAAAAATTGACTGCCCAAAGCGTATCTCGTTCAGATGGAAGCTGTGTTATTGTCAGAGCAGAGCTGAGAAACCCCCATCCCACCTTACCTGTGAATGGGGACCCAGGGAACTGCCAAGGCCCTGCTGAAAGGTAAGCGACAACCAAGCTCTTCAGTGAGATTCAAAATAAGCTTTATTTCTTTTAAAGGAGATAACAAACCAGCCCAGGATACAGCGTTTACATTCAGTCAGTCTCCTACATAAGTTTAAATATATGCATGGCACGCATTTCCATAGCCAAATGTCTCCTATGGGCTGACCCCACACTACAGCATGGGGCTGTGCAGTCCCTGCAGTTATAAATACAAGCACTAAAGTCAATGGAGCTCCCTTCCTGCACAAATCCTCCTGTGCTGCAGGGGTTCAGCACAGTAACACTCCTTATTCATCTCGGAACAGCAAAGCAGTGCTTTCCAAGATGCTTCAGAGTGGATTTTGACTGTCTGACATCTTCCAAATGAGGGGAATTTTCAAGCAATTCCCCTTTTCATTTGGACTGGCAAAATCACAGGCTCTGTTTAGGTTCCTGAGCATGTACTTAAGGTTTGTGCACTCATCATCGTTGTTCTGCTCAACGCCACCGCCACAGGACACAACCAGGCCTGCTTTGGGTGCAGCCAGCATCGCTTGTGAGCACAGGGGACCCCGCCACGTACAATGTTAGGAGAGGTACACCTCTCTACAGAGATGTTTTAAGGCAGGTGCTCCCCGGCTCCTCTGCAGAAAGCTCTGCTGAAACCCCTGCGTGGGAAGTCGCTTTCTCCGAGTCCATCTTTCCCAGTGAATACTTGCCCACCCGAGCCATCGCTTTCAGCTTCTCTGTGTGCTGGTGATTGGTCTTGACAAACCTCAGCAGGTTGACGATAGCGGCCGGTGTGATCCCAGGGATGCGGCTGAGGGCACCGATCTGCGCGTGGAGACGGGAACACGTTACCCAAAAAGAAACACAAACACACAGGCCAGTGAGAAACGGGACCAAAACTGCGGGTACTCCCTTCCCTGATTCTCCTCAGCCCCCGTGGCCCTTGAGAAGGGTTTTCATCGAAGGGATTTCATTGCTGCTCATCATTGCTGTGGCCCAACCTTACCGTCTGGGGACGGCTGGAGTCCAGCTTCTCCCGCACCTCTGCCGAGAGCGACGCATCGATGGCAAAGTAATCCAGGTCGTCCGGCAGGCGCAGGGCTTCGTCGCGACGCACCTCCTCAATCTCCTGCCGCTGGTTGGCTACGCACCACTCATAGGCAGCTGTGAGGGAAGATCAGGGAAACAAGAGCAGACACGGGCGTTCATGAGCAGGAATTCGGAGTGAGAAATGCCACTGAGACAGTCAAAAGCTCCCAAGGCAGTTTCCAGCCTCCCAAAATAAAGAGCCTAATTCACATCGCTGCTTTGGAAGAAGTCACACTCTAATTTGTTATGGGAATTAAGACACACGGGTTGGCTTTTCTGCTCATCCCAGGCAAGGATGTTCTGTTTGACAGAGCAGCAAGGAGGAAAACCCAGGAGTGAACATGAATAATCGATCCCAACCCTTAAAGTGCAGCACGGGTGCTTGCCCAGGGCTGTGGCCTATGGCAAAAGGTGCACACTTTGGTCACAGTGCTTCATTTCACAAAGCAGCAACGTGAAACACACTGGGATGAATGGGTTTGCCCTCCCCTTAATGAACAAAGCCTGCACAGACCCCACTGACCCTTGCACCTTACCTTCTATTTTCAATCTCTCTGCCAGTTCTTGCCACTGAGCGAGCTTTCCCAGGGGCTCTGGGACAGCCCTTGCCAAGGCCTCCATGCTGGCCTCCTGGTACTGAAGGATGTCGAAGGCACTGTGGAGAACAAAAGTCAGCTTTTAGGGTAGGAAGCAGTCACTCGCTTAAGGCAGATTTACAGCTGTTCCCAGCTCAAACTTGTAAAGGTCTCAGCATAAGCCAGAATGACTGCAGAGCCAAGCCCACCTCCTCTGAGAGCACAGAAGAGCTGTTAAAACTCTTGAAAAGGGGCTTTTTAATGAAAAAAATGAATAGCAAGACAGAAAGGACAAGGTAAAGGCATCAAGGGGAACCTTTCACACAGACTGAGTCAGCCAGGCCTTAGTCACTGATTTAAAACAATGGAAAAGGTAAGGTGAGATAAAGGATGGGTAAGGGAAGCGAGGACCTCTGCACACAAGAACAGCTGCCATCTGACACTACAGCCTGAAGGGAATTGCTGCTTTATCAGGCTTTCAGCAAAGCAGCAACCCACTGCAAAGCCATCACCGCTTGGTGACACTCTCAGTGAGGAGAGTGAGAACTGGCTGGGCCAGCGGGAGCCTAAGTCAGCACCAGGAAACACGGCACAGTAAACGCACCAAAGCTGCACTTATTCTATAGGCAAAGACCAGATGTCTGTCCCGTGGCTGTGATAAAGCTGGGACCTTGGAGTACTGACAGCTTCAGGAAGGACGGACAAATGCGGTGAGACATCCAACCAGCTGTGCTAAAGCAAGCACAGCTCAGACCACAGAGCCTCAGCTGCAGCCTTTACCTGACAGGCGACCTTCGACCACTACTGATGGGAACTTCTGGCATTAACTGGGACCACTTGGATATGCTGAACTGAAGGGATTTGAGCGTTGCAATTCCATCCTCCAAAGCAGCTCTCATCTTAACTGCTTGTTCGTATCGCTGCCGTGACACGCACCCGGCTTCCTCAAAACCTGCGGAGACAGATGGCGCATGAGACAATGCCCTACAACCAGGCAGGGCTGCTCGCTGCGAGGGCCACCCGAATAAAACACCTCTGAGGGTGAGCCTGGCATCGGCGTTGTCGGGCCGGAGGGACAGGCGGAACTCCACGCGGCTGGTGAACATGCGGTAGGGCTCGCTGGTGCCCAGCGTGGTAAGGTCGTCGATCAGGACACCGATGTAGCCTTCAGTGCGACTGACAACGAACGGGGGCTTGCCTTGAACCCGCAGGGAGGCGTTGATCCCAGCGATCACACCCTGGGCGGACAGAAAGCAAAACAAAAAACATTTACCAGGCTCTTCATGGCTAAAACATCAGCACATCTGGCTGCAGAGACTCGTGTCAAGCTGTACCCTGCGAAATGCCTGTGCCAGCCACATGGGCAGTTTCTTCCCTGTGATACTACGGAATAACAGGATGTCAGGGGTTGGAGTTAGAAGGGACCTCAGAGATCACCCAGTCCAACCCCTGCCAGAGCAGGATCACCCACAGGAGGTCACACAGGAACACGGCCAGGGGTTTTGAATGTCTGCAGAGAAGGAGACTCCACAACCTCTCTGGGCAGCCTGGGCCATGCTCTGGCACCCTCACAGGAAAGAAGTTTGTCCTCATCTTCAGGTTGAACCTCCTATGCTCCAGCTTGCTCCCATTGCCCCTTGTCCTGGCATTGGACATCACAGAGCAGAGCCTGGCTCCTTCCTCCTGACACTCGCCCTTTCCAAATGGATCCCCATGAATGAGGTCACCCCTCAGTCTCCTCTTCTCCAAGCTAAAGAGACCCAGCTCCCTCAGCCGCTCCTCATCAGGG